GCTCGCCAATGCTCATTTCATGATGACTCATTCAGCTATACTTTCGTTTTTTCCACTTTCTGTATGTATTATACTTCATAGAAAATGACTTAAAAAGCAAATTGCAGAATACAGATAGTACATCACCATCTGTGTTTTAAATCGTTACATACATACATAAAGGACGATATTACTGAAAAGGAAATTGGAGACTAGAAATGACAGGGAGACTATTTTCCCCATTATTCCTTTTTTTCCTTTGACATTCGGACCATGCACGTCAGTACCTGACCAACATTGCATTTCTATCAGTATTTCGAAGTTAACTTACCAAATCCCTGCCACGATAAAAGCAGCGGTTGTGATGGGTATCAGGGCTGGATACTTGACATCATAATCTTCAATCCCACGATACCACTCCAGATAGAGAATGCAGTAGAATGCAACGGACACGCTGACAAGCAACAAGGCGCCGCCAAAGAGAAACCAACTGTAAGACAAAAATGTCATCAGGATTGACAGCTCTTAGCACATCAGCAGAAATCTTACAAGTTTTCATTGGTTGCCTAAAAATCTGTTTCTACAAGAATATCAACTGGAAGAGGAACACAGAGGGACCCACAATCACTGGATTCCAGATTTCAGAAAGTCCAATCTACGGGGAGATGAGTGAGAGGATGAAAAAGTAAGCCTCTCAATACAGGCATGCATGTGTGCACTCATAAACCACCCCCCGGAACAGAACCCCGGTTATAGCTATGCATTTTCCTCAAGAACACAGGAAAGAGAGCAGCTTTCCTTTTGTTTCTCAAGTTGTGAGTGTGTCAGGTTTCTTGAAATGCTGAAAATCAATGTGCAAGATGGTTAATTCACACTGGGTTGTGGGTTCGATCCCTGGTCCTGGTTGGGGGTGTGTTTGGGAGGCAACCGATCAATGTATCTCTCTCACATCAATGTTTCTCTCTTTCTCTCTCCCACTCCCTCCATTCCCTCTAAAAAAAAAAAAAAAAAAAATCAATGGAAAAAATGTCCTCGGGTGAGGATTAACAACAAAAATTTCAACTAACAAAATAAAACACAAAAAATAAGACAAGGGTGTTTAACTTATGAACCAGGAAAGTTTTCTCTTTTTTTTTTATTACTCTTTCTTTTTCTTTATTGATTAAGGTATTACATATGTGTCTTATCCCCCCATTCCCCTCTCCCCCCCACTCTTGCCCTCACCCCCCTGGTCTCTGTGTCCATTGGTCCACAAATGAGTGCGATCATGTGATATTCAGGGAAGTTTTCTTACCTATTAGTGTGAAAGTTTTCTCTAATAGTTTTAAAGAAATCCACATAATAGGTCACAACAATGGATGCCAATATCCAGAATCCAGAATGGACATTAAGTCTTGGAAGAGGTTTTTGCTTTTTCTCAACAGCTGCAGAGGCTCCTGCAAATAAGGGAGATTTCAACTTATTAAGTTACCATAAAGTGCACGGGGAAAAATCAATCTCTCTTAAGCCAAACAAAAAAATTTACTAGAGCTTTTTGCGAACCAGAAATCTCTCCCACCATAGCATGAATTTCTTCTGTAAAAACCACCAAAATAGGCTTATATTGCAGAAATAATTACTAGCAGCCCACTATAAAACATGTGCAAGAGAGTCAACTTGTCTCCTTTAAATGGATTCTGAAATCAAATCTACTTATTCCGTCTTTCAGAAGGAATGACCACTTCTAGCAGTGTAGGCATTTTAATATTATGCCTCATATTTCATCTAGGAAAGTCAATAGTCCTATTAAGGAAAATGCCGCAGGCACATGTTAGAGCACAAAACAAATGCCATTTTCCAAGAATACTACTTATCACTATTTAATGATTTTAAGCGAACACAACCTTTTAAGGCGGCTCAACAGTGGAACGGACTGTAACCGGCTTGGCTCAGTGGATAGAGCATCAGCCTGCGGACTGAAGGGTCCCAGGTTCGATTCCGGTCAAGGGCATGTACCATGGTTGCGGGCACATCCCCAGTAGGAGGTATGCTGATCGATGTTTCTAACTCTCTATCCCTCTCCCTTCCTCTCTGTAAAAATCAATAAAATACATATATTTTTTTAAAAAGTGGAACGGGCGCAGTACTGTCTAGTCAGGTGGGGACGAGTCCACATGTCTTCCACCCGGGACTCCATCTGACAGAACAGGCGGCTGGGGTTGGATCCGACGAGTTATTTCCAATAAG